AAAAAAAAAAAAAAAAATCATAACCGGGTACATTGATGCATTTATGGGGTACATGGTACTGATTCGATTTACAATGTGAAATGCTTACATCAAACTGATTAACACATCCATCACTTCACTTACTTATTTGTTGTGGTAAGACAATTATACTCTTTTCTTAATAGTTTTGAAATGTACCATTGCATTATGCACATTAATTGAGGCCCCCCCAAACCCTCCCTCCTCCCATCCTGCCCCCCTCTCTCTCCTCTTCCCTTCTACTTTCTGGACTATAGTTATGTTTTACCATTCGTATGAATGTGTAGGAGATTATATATTGATTTCATAGTAGTATTGAGTACATTGGATACTTTACTAAGAAGAATATGTTCCAGCTCCATCCAAGTAAACATAAAAGATATGAAGTCTCCATCCTTTTATGGCTGCATAGTATTTCACGGTGTATATACACCACAATTTGTTAATCTATTCATGGGTCAATGGGCACTTGGGCTGCTTCTGAGAAAAGAAATAGCTGAAGATTTTAACAAATGGAAAAACATACTATGCTCATGGCTGGGAAGAATCAACATTGTTAAAATGTCTATACTACCGAAAGAAATCTACAGATTTAATGCAATCCCTATTAAAGTACCATTGTCATACTTTAAAGAACTTGAAAAAATAGTGCTTCATTTTATATGGAATCAGAAAGGAAATTTAAATAGCAAGGTTGATGGCCTGGCTCTGTGGCTCACACCTGTAATCCTAGCACCCTGAGAGGCTGAGGTGGGTAGATTGCTTAAGCTCAGGAGTTTGAGACCAGCTTGAGCCAGAGTGAGACCCAGTGTCTGAAAATAGCTGGGCATTGTGGCAAGTGTCTGTAGTCTCAGCTTCTTGGAAGGCTGAGGCAAAAGGATCACTAGAGCCCAAAAGTTTGAGTTGCGGTGAGCTATGACTCCATGACACTCTACCAAGGGTGACAAAGTGAGACTCGGTCTCAAACAAATAAAAAATAAATAAATAATATAGCAAGGTTGCAAGCATTGTCACCTTGATCTGAACATTGTTTTTGACAGTGTTCTAAGCTGTTCTTGCTCAATTCTAGAGAAAACAATTTACTTCCCAAGCCACTTTGGGGGCACAAACCGAAAAAGCAAGAATTTCCTTACAGTTGTGAAATCTTTCTTACCCTTGAGATGAAAGTCCCCACCAAAGATCGTGCATACACAGTGGGCCCCACTTATATAACCTGGCTATGTTACCTTGATTCAGAGGCATTGCTGATCAGATTGTGTCTGTAGAAAACATACAAGAACTGGAGAGAGAGAGAAAGCAAAATGGGGCCTAATTTCTGCTGCCTGGAAGGCCAATAGGGAATCTTTCCCACTCCCAATTCCATAAAGGGGTGTATGTCACTTCCCTGGCCTCTGACACACACAGATTTGCAGCATTTTGATTTTTGAGTGTCTGGTGGGAATGTGAAAAGCAAAGCAAATGCAGATGCAGGCGTTTGGCTTTTGAAAATGACTTTGAGCCATCAAGGGTCCAAAAAGATTAAGATTTCTCTGCGTGCATTTAGGGGGCTATTAAATGCTGCCTGTCCAGGCCTAATCTGATGGGTTTTCTTAATCAGGTTTACCCAAATAAGAATAAGAAGAAAGAAGAAATCCAGGTGAGGGGCCTTTCAGGGAGTCTTGGCCAGTCTGGTAGCAGAGGGCCTGCTTATTAACTCCATCTAAAATAGGCAACACCCTGCTTCCAGAATTTCACTGCGTGAATAGCCTGGAGTCTCTGGAGCAGGGGAGTGCATGGAATCCTCTCTTCTTAACTTTGGGCAGGGGGAATGAAACTAGAAAAGGACTGGATTTTTTTTTTAAGTTTAATTTCAGTCTAACAAATACACATTATAATCTGCAGCCACCAGCAATCTCCATGGCCATATAAAATGTGCCGGTTCTATAAAATAGAAGCCGCCTAGTTTTGATCTTTGCATATAACCGGAGAATGTCCAAATTAAAATACTAAAAATGCATAAGTCACATCAATTGCCTTCAAAGGACTTTTAACAAATAATGGTACTAATAAGCAGGATAATGGCATACAAAGTATATTGACATTCCCCCAGATTAACAAACTTTAGAAGCATTTGTGGTAAGATATTTTAAAAACAAAAATATGAGCCTGAGCCTCCCGAGAAGTTTCTCATAGTTTTAATGGCTGGTCATGCAAAGACAATGGTGTAATTGACCAACCATTTTGAGTATTGGTTTCTGAAGCAAAATTAGAAGTCCCCATCCCTGATGGGCACAAACTCTTTTGTGTCATCTTAGATTTATGGAAGAGTTATTAGGTACAAAATGCTGTCCCTCAAAGGGGAGCAAAATATTAAAAAATACTTGTTTCTGATGCTAATCCCTAGGTTTACCAAGTCCAACAAAAGGTCCACAAACATCTCTATGAGCTAAATATTAGAAGAGTGTAACACCTCTAGGTTTAAAAACTAGTCAATGCTGGACAGGCAGCATTTAATAGCCCCCTAAATGCATGCAGAGAAATCTTAATCTTTTTAGACCCTTGATGGCTCAAAGTCATTTTCAAAAGGTGTAAAAACTTCCAGGTATAAAAACTAGTCAATGCCATTAAACCTCCACCAAGAGGATCACACTAAAGATACTCTTCCAGACAAGCAGAATAGTAAAGGAAAGCTACAGTTCAAGAATCAGATCATTTGAAAAATCTTTATGGAAGAAAAAGTATCCAATGTACTCAGCCCTACTATGAAACTAATGTATAGCTTTCATAGGAAAGCTATAACCCAATTTTAGCCCAGGAATATGGGGAGAGGAGAGACGGAGGGGAAGGGAGGGGGGAGGGGGGGTTGAGGGAGGGTGATTGGTGGGATCACACCTATGGTTCATCCTATAAGGGTACATGTGAATCTCTCTAATTGTAGAATATAAATGTCTTAACACAATAAGAAAAAGACATAAAGGCTGTGTTAACCAGTTGGATAAAAATATTTCAAATTGTATACAGAAACAGTACACTGTACCCCATGATAATATTAATGTACACTGCTATGATTTAATTTAAAAAGAATCCATTCAGTGATTATTATTATACAAAGCTTTGTGGGGTTTTTTCCTCCTAAAGAGAATAAAATAGCTTAGGTCAACTTTCCCGTTACAGGTGATTTCCAACATTTTCCAAATTTACCACACAAAAAAAATCACGGTAAATATCTCGGCTATGAAATAAAGATTTCTAAAAAATACTCAGTAGTGATATAACAGGCTTAGAGATGTTATAGAATTTTTAGAGATGTTCTTAGAATTTTTTTTTTTTTTGAGACAGTCTCACTTTGTCATCCTCGGTAGAGTGCTGTGGAGTCACAGCTCACAGCAGACTCCAACTCTTGGGCTCAAGTAATTATCTTTTTTGTTTGTTTTTTTTTTGTTTTGTTTTGTTTTGGCCAGAGCTGGGTTTGAACCTGCCACCTCTAGCATATGGGGTCAGCGCCCTACTCCTTTGAGCCACAGGCATCTCCCCTCCAGTACTTCTCTTGCCTCCGCCTCCCAAGTAGCAGGGACTACAGGTGTCCACCACAGTGCCTGGCTATTTTTAGAGACGAGGTCTCGCTGTTGCTCAGGCTGATCTCAAACCTGTGAGCTCAGGCAATCCACCTGCCTCGGCCTCCCAGAGTGCTAGGATTACAGGTGTGAGCAACCTCACCCAGACAACTTTTTTGTTTTTTGGACTCTTCAAAAGCAAGCATTCAATTAGAAAATATTACATATATTCCTTCCACCCATTTTGTAATTATCTTTTGCATATTTCTTGATAACGGCATGTTGTTCCCATGATAGGAACAGATGGTTTTTGCAAATCATAGAGTAGCCTCTCTATTACATTGAAAAACATGATTTCTCCATAAATTGGAAGTAGAATACTCTACCCTCACCATCTCTTACTCAACCACCCAACTTAAAAGACCCTTAGGGGCTCAGCATCTGTAGCTCAGAAGTTAAGGCGCCAGCCCCATACACCAGAGCTGGCAGGTTCGAACCCGGCCTGGGCCTACCAAACGACAATGACAATACAACAAAAAAAAAATAGCCAAGTGTTGTGGTGAGAGCCTGTAGTCCCAGCAGCTACTTGGGAGGCTGAGGCAAGAGAATTGCTTAAGCCCAAGAGTTGGAGGTTGCTGTGAGCTGTGATGCTACAGCACTCTACCAAGGACAAGATGGTGGGACTCTGTCTCAAAAAACAAACAATAAAAGGCCCTTAGGAATGCAACATACCTCAAGCCCTAAGCCAGGGGTGTCCAACCCTTTTTTTTTTCTGATGCACTCTGTAAGAATAAGAGTTATCTGGGGGTCGTACATTAAATATACAAATGCCAAAGAAAGTGGATAGCAAAAAAATGTCCATGCATACTTTTCATGATGTCCACCACACACATAAGCAAAAAGTCTCCACAAAATTAGGCTGGGCTGCAGGTTGGACACTCCGAAGCAGTCTTCTTCTGTGCCCTTAAAGCTCAGCTTCCTCAGTCATTCTCTTTACCTGCTAGGAAGCAGAATAGATCCAAAGGTAGACGTTTTCTTTTCCTTTCCATGGCGCATGTCAGTAAGAGTTTGCGTCTCTTATTTTCCTAGTAATAAATTTTAAGGCTCTTGTACAAACAAAAAACTAGGGGGCTAGTAACACTTCAGAAAGAGAAAGACAGCCTGACATCAGGACTGGCCTGACACGCAGCCAGGCCCGGGTGGTGTCAGAAGCTGGCCTGGTGCTCCCTGCTAGGCCGTGTTGTTCTTTTGTACATGAACAATCTTACAAAACCCAACATCAGATGTCATTCTGTCACTGTGATGAAGTGAGATGAAACAAGACTGCTTCATAATTTTGCCCCTGGCTCTGGGTCCCTGGCCCACTTCAACTGCCATAATCATCTCAGACTCCCAGCAAGCAGTAATAGAACCTGATCATATAAGAAAAATGTTGCAGGCTCATTCGAGGGCTGTATCGGGATCCAAGAGCCTGGATTTTATTTTTTTCGAGACAAAGTCTCACTCATGCCCTGGGGAGAGTGCCATGGCATCATAGCTCACACCAATTTCAAACTCTTAGGCTCAAAAGATCCTCTTGCCTCAGCCTCTGGAGTAGCTGGGACTACAGACGGGCATCAGTCTTGCACCACCAGGCCTGGTTAGTTTTTCTATTTTTAGTAGAGAAGGGGTCTCACTCTTGCTCAGGGTAGTCTTGAACTCCGGAGCTCAGGCAATCCACCCACCTGGGCCTCCCAAAGAACTGGGATTACAGGTGTAAGCCACTGCACCTGGCCAAGGACTGATTTATATTGTAGATGCTGAAGCCTGATTTGTGCTTAAAATTTTTTTGTTTTGTCTTGTTTTTTTAGTATTGAGGATTCATTGAGGAGAACCAGGTTGTACTGATTGCATTTGTTAGGTAAGTTCACTCTTGTAGTTGTGTCCTACCTCCAAGAGGTGTGTCACACACTGTGACCCCCGACCCCCTCCTCCTTCCCGCTCTCCGCTGCCCCATTCCCCCACTATGTAGTAGTTTATCAATTGTCCTCATATTAGAATTGAGTACATAGGATTCTTTTAGGCACAAGTCACATCTTGGCACTTATAAATTGAGCTGTGATAAACAGTCTAGTGCAAATGTCCTTATGATAAAAGTTTTTTTTTTTTTTTTGTCTTCTGGGTAGATGCCTAGTAATGGATTTCAGGATTAAATGGGAGGTTCAGTTGAGTTCTTTAAGGATTCTCCACACTTCCTTCCAAAAGGGGTTGTATTAGTTTGCAGTCCCACCAGCAGTATAAAAGTGTTCCCTTCTCTCCACATCCACGCCAGCATCTGCCCCTTTCAGATTGTGATGTGGGCCATTCTCACTGGGGTTAGGTGATATCTTAGGGTGGTTTTGATTTGCATTTCTCTGATAATTAGGGATAATAAGCATTTTTTTCATGTTTGATAGCCATTCATCTATCTTCTTTAGAGAAGGTTCTATTCATCTCTCTTGCCCATTGATATAAGGGATTTTTTTTTTTGACAGAGTCTTACTATGTCACCCTTGGTAGAGTGCCATGGTATCACAGCTCACAGCAGCCTCAAACTCTTGGGCTTCAGTGATTCTCTTGCCTCAGCCTCCCAAGTAGCTGGGACTACAGATACACACAAGAATGCCTGGCTATTTTTTGTTGTAGTTATCATTGTTGTTTAGCAGGCCTGGGCTGGTTTGAACCCACCAGCCCCGATATATGGGGCTGGCACCCTAACCACTGAGCTATGGGCGCTGAGCCAATATGAAGGATTATCAGTAGAAAACCATGAAATGAAACTAACATCTTACAGTCACCTAATCTTCAATAACCAAACAAGAACATACACTGAGGGAAAGAATCCCTATTCAATAAATGGTGCTGGGAGAACTGGGTAACCACATGTGAAAGACTAAAACTGGATCCGCACCTTTCTCCACTGACTAAAATTAACTCAAAATGGATAAAAGATCTATATCTAAGGCTGAAGCACTAAAAATCCTCGAAGAATCTGTGGGGAAAACACTTGAAGTTATCCGACTGGGGAAAGACTATGAAGAAGACTCCAGTGGCAATTGCAACAACAAAAATGAATGAATGGAACTTAATTAAATTGAATAGCTTCCATACAGCTGAGGAGACAACAACCAAAGCAAATAGACAACCATCAGAGTGGGAAAAGATATATGCATATTATGAATCAGGCAAAAGCTTGATAACTAGAATTTCTAGCTAGAATTCTTTTCTAGCTAGAATTTCTCATTTGTTGTCCATTATTCAAACATGGCTGTGGCTTACCTACTTAGTGGGTTTTCTGCAATTATACTTGTAATCAAAAAGTAACTTCTGGAGTACCTAGCCCAGTTATAATGTCAGTGCGTGGTTAGGAAAAATCTATTTTAACGTTGGTCAGAGAAGAAGCTAATTAGGAAGGCAAATCTGTATCATCCCCCTCCTGCCCAAATAGAAAACACTCTGAAAACCATGTAGTAGTCCTATCCTCTTATCCAACTCCCACCGGGTTATGCTAACATTTTCTACTGGCCTGTCACAATGACATTTGATCACTTTCAAGTCAGTGCTATGATCACAGATCCCAGAGAACAGTAACCACAAAGTCATTTAACAAAGTGTTCTATTCACTATGATTCACTCAGCACTGAGGCAGGTACAACGGTAGCTACAAGATAAAATGTAAAAAGGGTATCTTCCCCTCTGACAAGGCTTAAGATCTAAGTTAAAGAGACAAGATATATGCATTTGAAGTATCTTGAGGACAATAAAAGACAGTATATAATCCTATGCGAAATGATGATGGTACAATAGCAATTCCTATCAGTTACTGAGGCCTTCCTGAGGGACAGGCACCATGCTAAAGACACCACATTTCTTATCTTATTTATTTTTTAAATTTTTTTTGTTAATTTTTATGAAATCATAACTGTATGCATTTATGGAGTACAATATGATGATTTGATATGCAGTGTGGAATGCTCAAATGCTCAAGCTAATTAACATAACCATTGCCTCACTTATTTTTTGGTAAGACATTTGTAATATACTATTAGTTGTTCTGTTTTGTTTTTGTTTTTTGAGACAGAGTCTCAATCTGTCACTTTGGGTGGAGTGCTGTAGAGAGAAACCTCCAACTCTTGGGCTCAAGCGATCCTCTGGCCTCAGTTTTTCTATTTTTAGTAGAGATGGGTCTTGCTTTTTGCTCAGGCTGGTCTCAAACTCGTGAGCTCAGGCAATCCACCCCCCTCGGCCTCCCAGAGTGCTAGGATTACAGGCGTGAGCCACCTCGCCCGGCCCCCTCTTACTTGTTTTGAAATGTACTCTTGCATTGTATACATAAGGTGAGATCCGGCCAAGTTCTTATCTCATTTTTAATCTTCCTAACAACCCTTTGGATATAGGTTCTGTTCAGATTTCCATTTTTTTTTTTATTAAATCATAAATTGGGGGAAAGTTTCCCTATTTAACAAACGGTGCTGGGAGAATTGGCTGGCCACTTGTAGAAGACTGAAACTGACCTACACCTTTCGCCATTAACAAAAATTGACTCTTACTGGGTAAAAGATTTAAACTTAAGATATGAAACTATAAAGATTCTTGGTGGGGTGGTGCCTGTGGCTCAAAGGAGTAGGGCTCCGGCCCCATAGGCCAGAGGTGGTGGGTTCAAACCCAGCCCTGGCCAAAAACTGCAAAAAAAAAAAAAAAAAAAAAAAAAAAAAAAAATTCTTGGAGAGAGTGCAGGAGAAACACTTGAAGAAATTGGCCTGGGAGAATACTTTATGAGGAGGACCCCCTGGGCAATTGAAGCAACACCAAAAACACATTACTGGGATCTGATCAAACTAAACAGCTTGTGCACAGCCAAGAACACAGTAAGTAAAACAAGCAGATGGCCCTCAGAACGGGAGAGGATATTTGCAGTTTATGCTTCTGACAAAGGTTTGATAACCAGAATTCACAGATCACAGAGAACTCAAACTTATTAATTAAAAGAAGAACAAATAATCTCATTTCATTGTGGGCATGGGACTTGAACAGAAGCTTCTCTGAAGAAGACAGGTGCATGGTCTACAGACACAGGAAAAAATGCTCATCATATTTCCATTTAGAGCCAAGGGAGCTGGGCTTTGTTAAGAGTAAATCATTTGCTGTGCCACAGTTGATAGAGGAAGGCCAAGCTAAGATTTTATCCCCAACTTTTTTTTTTTTAAAACACTTCAAAACTACAGGAAAAATAATGACATAATGAAGACTCATATATGCCTTATGCAGATTTGCCGACTATTAACAGTTTACCATGTTTGCTTTATCATTCTCTTTCTGTCCCTCTCCCCCAGCAAAAGGTGCAAACCTGTGAGGGACATGCCTCACACCCAGTTCCAAGCTCTGTAGACAGTAGATGCAAAAATGGAGACTAGTGCAATTCCCTCACTTCCGAGCAGGCTCAAACCCTTCCACAATATTGTTCTCAATCTGTCTTTCCTCCCTTTTCTTTTGCCTTCTGTCTCCCCCCTTCCTCTTTTCCTCTCCCCTCCGTCCCACTTCCCCGAGGGTCACTGAATGAGCTCCCATTAAAGGCTGGCAAAGGAGCAGGTGGGTGGAGGGGTGATGAATGAGAGAGACAAAGTGGTTTAGTACCCGGTTCCATGAGACTCTGCTGATCCGAGCATCTAAGATGGAGTGACATCTCATGAAGACTGGACGAGTGAGCTGGAGAGCTGAGTTACGGTCTGTGGAGCCTTTCTGCCAGGCTCTCCGAGTGCCTTCCAAATAGCCACCCTCACAATGCCCTAGGGAGTCTGGGGGCAAGGTGGGATCACCAGATCCAGAGCCATCCCTAAGGGAGCTGGACTAGAGAAAAGTACACTTGGTGGGCCACAAGGTCAGATATGATTCAAATTCATGGTATGGGAAGACGAGGTAGGAATGGGGAGGGAGAAGCCAGCAAGATGCCATGGAGGTGGGGGGAGGAGAGGATATCTCCCCGGGGGAAGGCTGGAAGGGGGGGATGCTCGTACAAGGATGCCCATACAGGTAGTTCTCAATCCTGACTACTTCCTCCCTCTCCTCACACTCCATCAGGCAGTCTTCATAGTCATTAGACATCTCATCTCCTTCGGCCCTGACTCCTTGACTGGGCTAAGGGAGGACGGACAACCAGGAAAGTCACCACCACTTACCACATAGCAGGCATGTTCTTGGGGTGGAGGAGAGCAATAAGATTTGGAAGAAGTCTGTCTTATATAGAATGTTTAAAATGCAGTTTTATTACTCTCAGACCATGTATCCAGTAACACAAACTTTGCTCCAGGTGTGGTCCTAGGGGACCCGCCTGACTGAGCAGAGATGGGAAGAGTTTGTAGCTAGACATTGTGAAATGTTTCTAAACATGCACCCATCCATCTGCCTGCCAGTTTGATCTGCATGTGTTTCGGATTGTCCCTTCTCTAAGTTGGA